GGATTTAGGGGTTTAGGGTTTAGTGCCATGTGGAGCAAACAAGCAGTGCAAGTGCGTTCTACTCGTCAGTGTGCGGAAGCGGGCTCGATTTGCCTCATGCATCTATGGGGTTTGAACAATTTGGGATGATATGAAAACCGCGAAGTACTGTTTTCTTGGCACTAAACCTTGAACTCTAAAACCACGCGATCCTAAAAGCCTGGAAGCCTTAAACCCTAAAGCTTCAAATTCTAATGCGCCAATGCGCTAACACCAAAAGCCCCTTCAACCCAAAGATCCTAAATGCCTGAAGCAGTTCGCCCTGAAATCCAAAGGCTCTAAAACACCCCTACACACTAAGCCCTGAAGCCTAAACCCCAAAACCCTCAACCCTAAACCCTAAACCCTGAACCCTAAAGCCTCCAAACCCTAAACCCTAAACCCTATAAACCCTAAACCCTAAACCCTAAAGCATCCAAACCCTATACACTGGAGTCCGAGCAGTAGCAGTACTTGGATCTAACTTGCCGGCTTTAAGTTAACGGTTTACGGTTTGCCCAACCCTGAACCCTAGACGTGTGATCCTATAACGAACTGTAAGGCAAAGTAAGAGCTAGGAGTACTTATTACAAAACACCAGTTATTCCGGACTCTATGCTACCTCCTTCGGCCCTACTTAGAGTAAGTTCAAAATGGGCAGTAGGGACCCCACAGCGCCACTAAAGTCTCATATAGAACGACATCGAACCCTCTCCCTGCCACGAAAGCGGCTTGGCATCTCCTTGCCGCACGTACAAGCGGATGATCTCATTAAAGCAGATCCTGAAACGGTTTGCTTAGGGATTTCGGATTTAAGGCTTCGGGTTGCCATAAGGCTTAGGGTTCAGGGATCGGGGTTACGAAACCGCTACAACGAGGGCAAGAAATCATCAGGATCTGAGCTTCAGAGTTTGGGGAGTAGTCGGGTGAGGCTTCAGGGTCTAGGCTTTAAGGGTTGAGGGTTTAGGGTTTAGGGTTTAGGGTTTAGGGTCTAGGCTTTAAGGGTTGAGGGTTTAGGGACTGAGGGTTTGGCTGAGAGTTTCTAGCTGCTGGGGATGGGAGCGCAACTGTATACTGTATACTGTAGACTCGGGTCATCTTACGTCTGCTTATTGCGACTACTGCCAATCGGTGTAAGTCCTAAGTCACGATTCTTCCACATTGCCAGTCTGTGTAGTAACTGGTGCAAGTCTCATTCAAAATCCTAAGCTCTAAACCCTGACCCACTCCTTTGAGAATGAAGAACCAGGATTCATCAGGGGACTACGCTGCGCCGGGGTAGTTGGAGGTATCCTGTGCGTTGTGGGTCGGTAGCCTGCTGAAACCGAGCATTCTGCTAGCCAGCCACACAAACGAGGCGACGACTCTCTTTGGGTGCCTGATTAAGAACTTTGTGTTTTTGAAGTTCTGGAACTCCGTAGCACTCAGAAAATAACGCCTCTGGAACCATCTTCTGATCTCCAAACCCTCAACCTCAAGCTCTTAGCCATTTACTTCTGCCCACATATTGCCCAAGTCGTGCACACAACCAGCCAACCCAACCAATTGTCCTGGGTTCAGGGTTTAGAGTTTCCCAGCCAAGCAGGGATCCTACTGACCCTAAACCCTAAATTGGGATTCTATCAGGCTTTTTAAGCATCATTGCCATAAGAATGCTGGACTCTTGGCTCCCTAAAATACGAAACGAAAGGTGGGCCTACCAGAAACTCTGAGCTTCTGAGGGTTTCGTGAACAATAGAATACAGGACTTTTGGGGTTTAGGGTTGGGGTATAAGGTTTAGGGTACAGGGTTTAGGGTTTAGGTTGAGGAAGGCTTTATGACTGCTTGTCGATTTGGGGTTGCGATCAAAGCCTAACACTCGTCCCCGCAAACCTGAAACCTGACTCTAACCCATCGATGAAGAGGGTACGTACATAGTATCGCGATGGAATTGCAGTAGAAGCCCAAAAGTTGGAAACCCAATAGTCAATAGCCTCAATCCATAAGAGTTTGGTATAGGGAATCCCAGCACTAATTGTCCTTAGCCTGGTTTCCAACTTTTCGGGCTTCACTATACCTCGCCCGAAACCATGCTCAGACTGGTCTCTTTTCGGGCTACTACCATAATACTAGACCCTAAACCCTAAACCGAGTAGTAGTGTCTTCGGGCCCTCTGGGCTCTGTTAAATGTCGGAACTGCAGGTCGCCCTAAGCCGGTTTAGGGGTTTAGGGGTTTTTAGGGTTTAGGGTTTAGGGTTTAGGGGTTTAGGGGTTTAGGAGTTCAAGGGTTTAGGAGTTCAAGGGTTTAGGGGTTAAGGGTTTAGGGGTTTTGGGGTTTAGGGGTTTTGGGGTTTAGGGGCTTAGGGTTTAGGGGTTCAGGGTTTAGGGTTTAGAGGTTTAGGGGAGGAGTCCCAGCATAGAAATTAGGGGTTTTGGGTTTAGGCAGGGAAGGAGTCCCAGCTAGGGTTTAGGGTTTAGGGTTTAGGGTTTAGGGTTTAGGGTTTAGGGTTTAGGGTTTAGGGTTTAGGGTCATGCCGAGAAGCTCATCGGGTTGGACGGAGTTGGCCTCAAGGCGGAATCGGTGAGTCATACAAAAACCGCAAAGAATGATCATTACCATATTGGCGTATGTCAACAGGAATAATCCAACGATCAATGCACGTAATAGTTGAGGGCATATTGTATTAGGGGATTCTTTCGCTTTGTTGGGTTCGGGCTTAGTAGGTGTTGGATTGAGGGTTCAGGGTTCGAGGGTTCGGATTTAGGGTCTAAGGTTTAGAAGGCTAAAAGTTGAGGGTTCAGGGTTCGAGGGGCCGGATTGAGGATTGTAGTCTCGTGTGGTTTCCAGGTGCAAGACTTGAAGTAGCAGGCCCTAAGATCAAGCCCTACACCCTATGCCCGATGGCCCTAAAGTCCGAAACCCTACGCGATACATCGTGAGACCCTGGCAAGACCATCAACATGGTGTAGTATGCTATCGTTCAGTATAGTATGTGATCGTATATGATAGTACATTAGAGTCAGTTCTACTATACTATGCCCAAACTCCCGGGAGGACTCCCCGCGGCAACACTGCTGGCTGCGGCCGCAAACCCTATGTAGAGTCGAGGGTTCCGGGTTTTGTATCCCCAAACCCTACAAAATAAATCCAGAGCTCTCTTAACGGTGTTAACGTCTACACATGCTAGGCTGAAATCTGGCTGGCAGAGATCATCAAGCTAAACCCTCAACCTAAACAGGCTCTGGCTGATTTGATTGAAAATTGAAAAGAAGGTAACTTCCATTCTTTCACGGCATACCTGGGACCTTTGTTTAAATTTGGCTCCAGCACCTCCATGTCTCGCCAATGTTGGAGAGCCGTCTTGGCATCCCCCTTCGCAGCACCTAAGCTTCCAACCAGGTTTCCCAGCACGGTTAAGGTTTAGGGTTTAGGGTTTAGGGTTTAGGGTTTAGGGTTGCGGGTAAACAGAAGATAACCAGATGCATGCGGCCAATATTGCCAATACTCATAGGCCCCATAGTCGTTCCTTTTTGTGCTTTATATCTAGGATCCTATTAGGTAATCCTAAAAAGGAACTACTATGAGGCCTATGGGTATAATTACTCTTTCAAGAACTTGACACCTCAGCGCCCGAACCTAGAGGCATGTTCCATGTCCCGTGCAATTGGGTCCCAGTTTCGTGGTTTGTGTGTTCCGAGCTCAGACGGTCGTGTCTTCCAGATAGAAACTGTAGCAGATTTCTGTAGAGGCCTTAATAATTAGGTTTCGGTTTTGGGGCCCATTGCACTATAAGTATGATAAGGAACTCCACCAAAACAGTATAGGTAATTATGTAGGTCCCTAGATTAAGCACTGCAGTAGCAAAAAAAGTTTCTAGGCCCCTAATACGGAATCCTAGGCACGGCCCAATAGCTGGGTTTCAGGATCAGAGTATTGAAGTTATTGACGAGTTGGGGATGAGGTTCAGGGTTTAGGATAGGGAAGTTATTAAAACCCTAAACCCTAAACCCTAAACCCTAAACCCCTAAACCCTAACGAGTTGGGGACGAGGGTTTCCCAATGCAATTTGGAACGAGTGCGTTGGCAAAGTTGGCACGGCATACGGTGTACAAATACGCATAAGCGCGCCCTTCAAACAGCAAGCCCACACCCCAACCCCAAACTCTGAATTCTAAACCCGAAACTCTGTGCCGCTATAAATACACTCCACACTCCAAACCCAGCGAGCACCCAAAATTGCCCCGAAGCCTTTTAAAGCCAAGGACCCTTCTTAGAAGAACTAGATTTTCTAGTAGCAATATAGCATTGCATGTACCCTTTTTGCTACTGCTTGGCTTGAATAAAGGGGCTCCGCATTACAATCCCTATTCCACCTGTTCAAGCCCCCCCGCCCCCCCCCTTCTGAACCCTGGACCCTGGACCCTGAACCCTAAACCCTAAACCCTAAACCCTAAACCCTAAGCCCAAGTAAGCCCGGCCACAGGCTTTGATGACGTTGCCTCGGACTGTACGGCTGAGGCAGAAGAGTTTGGAAGTACCCCTAAGGGTCCATGTACCCAAACAGTAGAGGTTTAGGGTTTAGGGTTTAGGGTTTAGGGTTTAGGAATTAGGGTTTAGGGTTTAGGACATTGGCCCTAAAGTACCCATATAGGGACTACATTAAGGCCAATGTTCTACTATTTGGGTACATGGACCCTTAGGGAAGATTCAAGGTTCACGGCGATTTGGGAGCTGGTGCCAACCCCCGCCCCTCAAAAAAATGCACCTTCTTAAGGCACCATTATAAGGAAAACCGTAAGACGTAAGAAGCCCCCCCCCCCCTCCGCAACAAAAACGATGCTTCTTATGCTCCAGGTAGAAGCCTATGAGTTCCTTTTTGCAGCTCCTACCCTCAGCCCTAACACCCTGAGTTCCTTACACGGTTCCATCTACTTCCTCAAAGGGGCTTAGGGAAAGCAAGGCCCTTATAGTAGTAAAGAAGATATGGCTTAGGGAAATCAAGGCGCTTATAGTACGTAGTATTTGGTTCCTTAGAGGGGCTTAGGGAAAGGGCCGTCTGACCACAAACGGCTCCAAGACACTTCTCGGCTGTCCAATGGTCTGTCGTTGGTTCCGCTTTTTCGGGTTTGAGGCTTTAGGGTCTCGGGTTTCTTGAGTTTTTATCGGCTTTATGGGGTTTAGGGTTTCTAGTTTAAGGTTGCCTTTGGGTTTAGGCTTTAGGGCCTCGGGTTTCTTAGACTTGTTATAGGATTTATGGGCTCGGGGTGTAGCATTTGGGGCGTCGCATTTGGGGTTTCTAGTTTAAGGTTTAGGGTTTCGATGTTTTCGGTGCGATCAGTAGAACTCCCACTCCAAACACGGACTGTGCACTACAAAGCCTGCTCGTCTTTGAGTGATGTGACCCATAACCCGAGAGCCCTAAACCCTAAACCCTAAACCCTAAACCCTAAACCCTAAACCCCTAAACCCAAAACGCTAAGTCCTCAACCCTAAACCTGCATTACCCATAGGCCCCATAGTAGTTCCTTTTTGGGGTTCATATTTAGCAGCCTATAAGGTAACCCCAAAAAGGAACTACTATGGGGCCTGTGGGTAAACCCTAAGCTGCGGTGTGGGAAGCAGGCAAAACCCAAGAAGGAATCCTCGGCCCGAAGCACATCTTTGTGTTGCTACTTTTGGGGCCTTGGTACCTTCAATGGGGCTCCTTTGAGAGTTCATTGGACAGGTGTTCCAAAAAGGATTGCCACAAGGATTCTATGGTAAGAGGGCCTTCTGGCTAGAATCGTGCTTTGGAGTACACTTCTAATGTAATGAGAATATACATCTTGAAGGAACCTCAAGGAAGAGAGATGTCTGATGCACCGTCGTGCCTGATCGTTTTCGACTTCAACACAATTGGCGCGTCTGACTCTGCAACGACCACAATGCCGAGGCCAAGGGCGGAATGAATGGTCTCATAGAGGTTCTTGATCGCATCGCGGCTTTCTTGACCTTCGGCTTGAGAGCCTCAAACGGTTGCCTGGAACCTCGGGTTCTCGTTGCGCTCTGAGAAACACATTTCCCGGATCCTCTTGATCAGCGTCCTGCCGGTTGCAGGCCCCAGAGAACCCAATACCCCTTAAATAAGGAATATACCTGAAATTATAGGGGCCTTAATATTATGTTTTAAGGTATATTCCTTCATTGAGGGGTATTGGGCTCTCTGGGGAGGGTGTGCGATCGGTAGGGCACACGGCGCCCTCGTGAGGCCTTCCAGAATCCCCTCCTCCTCAAACGGGAGTGCCGAAACACTCGTACAGTAGCGGCCTCACGGCCCTCGGCGTCAGCTCAAGGAACAGTGTCGATAAGTAGTCAGGCCCCTATGTTACAAAGACAGGCTTGTGGTTCAAGGGCCCCCCCCCGGGAAACACATTAAGTATGGGCAGGCAAGCCGTTGGAACCAAAATCCGTAACCCTAAAGCCTTACACCGCTTGCGGCACCTTACAACCCTACCTCCTCCATGTACAAAGCGATGAACACAAATATGTAGACTTTTGGGCTTCCAGGGTCTGGGGTTAGGGGATCTCAGACCCTAAACCTAAAACCCAAACCATAAACCCCATAAACCCCTAAACCCTAGACCCTAAACCCTAAACCCCTGAACCCCTAAACCCAAACCCTTAAACCCTAAACCCCCAGCAGCATGCAGAGGGGCTGTAGCAGGTCACACCCGGGGCAAACTGCGCCGACTGCATCCTCGCGCCCAAGGAGGCAGCTTTGGGGCTAAAACTTACATAATGTAGGGGCTTTCATAATTAGAATAGGGTTTTGGGGGTTCCTTAAATATTATAACTAAAATATAATATGCCCTCAAACCTTATTTTGATTATTAAGGCCCCTATATTACGGCTGAACAATGTGCCATGGGGTTGGTTGTAGGTTTTTGCAAGGGTTTTCTGGTTGTCTTCCGGGGTTCTATCAGGGTTCTCTAGGATTCAGGGCTTGATTTTGTTCAGGGCTGAGGTGGGTTACCGGTTTCAGGTTTAGGGATTTCGTTTTGGGCACTATGAAGAGTCTTCGGTCAAGGTTCAAGATACCAAACCCTATAAACCCTTAACCCTAAACTCTCTAAGCCCTAAACCCTATAAATCCTATACCCAAAACCCTAAACTCTATACCCCCATCATAGACCCTATCAATCCTAAACCCTAAACTCTACAAGCCCTAAACCCTATAAATCCTAAACCCTAAACTCTACAAGCCCTAAGCCCTATACAAATCCTAAACCCTAAACCCTATAAGCCCCTAAGCCCTATATAAATCCTAAACCCTAAACCCTATAAGCCCGAAGCCCGATAAACTCTAAACCCGATTAGGGTTTACGATTTAGGGTTGGTTTATTTGGGGATCTGCAGCTTCTAGATGCAGCGCGGCGAAACTAACGTTTAGGGTTTAGGGTTTAGGGTTTAGGGTTTAGGGTTTAGGGTTTAGGGTAACCTACACAAAAAAGTTTGAGCACCCGGCTAAACCAACGCAGGGCTTGAGACCGGCCGAGTATGTTGAGAGCTTTCCGATATCAGTTTTTCAAAGGTCCACGAAGGATCGTGAAGGGAACCGCGGAAAGTCCTATAATGCTGAAATCAAATGCGGGTTTATATACAAGTAAATCGAAAGAGTAGTATAGGGGTCTTAATAATCAGAATATGGTTTGGGGATGTTTGAGGGGTATAATGCACACAATTACAGTCAGGAACCCCCAAAAAACGTATAGGTAATCATTTAGGCGCCTTTTGTAAATCGGCGGAGTACTGGCTGCTCGTCCTTGGTGTTCCGGTTTGCACAGCCGGTCCTGCGTAGCCAGCTGGTGGCGCCGTCAGCGCTTGCGGCTTTGGCATGCGCTTCCTCGTGTTGGACGTTTCAACGCTCGGGGGCGACTTAGTGCATCCGAGGCAGTAGACAGAAACTTTCAACATACCTGCTTTGGAGGGCCACTTCTTCGTGACTGGTTTCTCTAGGTATCGATTCAACCCTACCTATAGTATAGTCTCCATTGCGGTTCCTTCTTTTGGTTCAACCATTTCTATATTAAGGATCCTAAAAGGTAGCCCCAAAAAGGCACTAGAATGGAGACCATAAGTAAACCAAACCCCTACACCCTAAACCCTAAACCCCTGAACCCCTAAACCCCTGAAACC